GATTTCGCTGTTCATCATGAACGAAATCAATTTTATTTCTCGACTCCATTAACTGGCCAGATTATTGTAATCGCCATGGGCTTCTCATTTTGCGGTGCATCATCAATATGACAGGTGAAAATTGAGTTGTATCATGTTTGGAGGAACGATAAGTCAATAGTAATAATGGCATCCATTCGAAGGATTGAATGTTCGCAACAAAAAGAAGTACCTCCACTAATCGAATGGAGGATTTGGCCTTACCATGGGACCAATATAATGAAGTTTAGAAGACTAAACCAGAAACGATTAAACCTGATGGTGTGTCGTCCTACTTGTCAAGTCGATCAGGGTCCTTCCAAATCCGTCTGGCCGGCGGCGGCGACCATCCACGAGTATTTCGTGCGGAATACCAATTCCCAAAGAATTTTATCGTGGCATATCGAACTACTGGACACTCGAGGGCGTGACACAAATGCCAGATGCAATCAAGCAAAAGAGGAGCTCTGGTAGCCAAAGGAGCACGAGGAGAAAAAAAATTAGGGGGAGGAGCAGTTTATGTGAGAGACGAAGTCTTGAGAGATGTGAAATAAGTATATGTTCGGTAATACATAAATACAGAAATGGTGATAAAGAGGAGGGGATATTTTCATTTATTACATGAGTGTGCGGGGCCCTGCTGGATATAATATGAGCAATGTATGCATGAGGTCTCTCTCTCAACCACATACTGTTGTTCGAGGTGACTGCCATGGGTGCATAAATATATGGGTCTATGCGTCACCCCACCACCGTATCTAAGTTTGGCCAAGTACATATGATGTGTTATAAAAGAATATCTACAAATTCAATTGTCATTCCTGCCTGTGACGAATCGATGGAACTTCTGCCAATAAAAATAAAGTATTTCGAAAGTTTTGAAGCGGATTGGATTTTTCTTTTGGAGATACGATGCTGGCGAATATTTTTCCTTCACACATTTGGCTCGCATTCATTGGCAGGAAATGCATATGCTGAGGACAGTATTTTTATTTAATGAGGTCGATATGAGGGATTGTGTCGCAAGTTCAGATGATTTTTTCTCTCTTGAGAATTAAAAAAAAAATATTTCGTTATATGGGCTAGATGGAGATGTGGCAATGCAGTGAGGGAGGGAAAAGGTGGATATGTGGACACCAAGCGGACATGTAATGACTTAGTAGAATGATTGGAACACGCAGTAAGCTGCGAGGTGGTGATGAGAAGACTGAAAGTATCAGATAGAGACTGGATAGGCTGGAGAGGAAAGACAAACCAAAGAAGCTGAAGGAAGAAGTTACTAGTTGCCCTAGCAGGAGAAGTAAATGTACCGTTGTGTGTGCACTGAGAAAAAAAATCTCCCAAAAATTAGTGTGCTGTCCCCCCAACGCCGGGACATAACATGGGGTCGTCGAAAAATTCATAAGTGGCGCCCTAATTTTTGGTGGGACTCCGGCCACTTTCTCGGGGGATTCCCGTAAAAATTAGTGTGCCACATGCGAATTCTCCGATGACTCCCTGTTATGTCCCAGCGTTGGTGAACAGCACACTAATTTTTGGAAGGATTCTCACAAAATTACGATGTATTTTTTTCTCCGTGTGGAGCTAGCTAAGATAGAGAGTGTTGAGAGATTAAGGTGACAAGACATTTTAAAAACCCGAGAATTGAACAATCGCTTAAATTGTGCGACTGTGATATTATCATTAGTTATTCCGCATTAAGTATTCTATTCTATTTCGTTATATGAAAAAACTGTTGTTACACGTCGGAAAACCGTTTCCTCTTGTCATTCCTCTTCGTCAAATTTTCCAGTTCAATCAGATCTCTCGTAATCACCCTTATTGTAATTTTGCCGTTTCCCACTGACAGAATTATAAAATCCCAAGAGTGGCAAAAATCTGGGTTCATTCGATTACCCGTCTGTACTTTTTTATTATTATTTTTCTGCTTACTTGTGTATGCGCTCAATAAGAGAAAATGCCAAGAGGAACAGAGACCGATCCAGCGGCAAGTTGCCCGCAAGTCCGCCGAATCTCGGGGTTAATGGGGCTGAATCACAGATTGCGACTCCTATCCCCTCCCCCCCCTCCGGCCCCTCCTCATCCCGCCCTGCTCACTTGTGCAAAATTTTCCAAGTATCCCGAAACTGTTGGAAATCTTTAAACCCTCAAATATAACTTTGTGAGCATAACAAACACTGGACGTTAATTTGATAAATGCAGTGGGTCGGGGAGTTTAGGTGAAAACAATAAATCAATTATAATATTCCACGGTTCGGTTGGGCTATATCGGTTATTAGTAAAAGCCGTCGATGTACCGGAAGGTGGCAATATATCCACTCCACATACACGTTTTCCATGTTTGTACATTGGTTTCTCACTATTATGAATTTATTACGCAGCTGTGAAACAATGCAGTGTCATCAATCGGTTATCAACGAGTTCGGTATTTGCTTGGTGGGTTTGGGAAACTGTTATCAGTTGCACATCCGGATATTATTTATGGGGACGTAATGATGCCAGATAGATTTCATTGGTGGAGCAGGTTTAAAATTGTAGTTGCGTCGCGAACGAGGAGTCCACACGGAGAGAACTATTCAATAAAAATTACGTATCTTTTCCGTAATTCCGGAGCGAAATGTGGTGGTAGGAAATTTTACGGAACTGTCACGGAATTTTTCCGGAGCGTTCCGTAATTTTTATCTGAATCTCTTGTGGAAAATTACGATACCGTCACTTAAATTTTCTGAGTCGATTCCGTAATCGGTGAGAAGTGAGAGTTCCGTAATTTTTACTGAACATTTCTCTCCATGCACTTCATCGAATGCCAACTCTAGCTAATCCACACTTGCATTCATATCTGGAACTGATAAAACTTGAGTTAAAAATTCTCGTAGGGCCCAGTCTTGAGTCAGATCGCGTGTTGTATCGTTTGGTTTGCCGAACTGTTAGCCTCCCTGGCGGATCCCCCGATTGAGATTCGATCGACTGTCGATTGTAGAATCGAGTTGATCAGTATATCGATTCGTATGCGAGTGTAGTTTTTTTTTTTTTTTTACGGCCTCGGAGTCCCTGTTCGGGTCCCATTCGGCACTCTATCCAACCCTATGCATGCGGCTGTGGATTCTACACTGCACCGCATTCGCGCTCCTATAGAACATAGAAGTAACATGGGAAACCACAGA